CAATTTGTGTTTCTTTGCAAGCTCTTGGTGTATTATATTTGCTACTTGATTGTGTCTGTGTAAATAATCTGTCTGTGCCAAGAGCTTGTACCCAGATGTAATGTGTTGTATAGTTTCTGGCATGATATGACATTTTCTGCATGTGTCATTTGTGAGTGTTGTATCTTTGAGAATGTGTTTTCTGTAGTTTTTAGTATTTGACCTTATCCTGTATGGCAATCATGAATCCTTCCGTCTCCCAAAGAGGCATCCCCCATCTAACCAGCTGTTAGACGCAATTTTGTCAACAAAATCCTGGGCCAGGTCATAAAAATGTCTGCTACGGAGTGCCTTTTGAGCCCACGATTGCTTGATGGTATCTATGCTTTTTATATGTTGTGTCAAGTCTGTATGATGTGGGTGTAAGTTTAATGGTGTGTTATTTGAGTCTCCTAGAGTTACTGCTTTATGTAACTGTGATGTTTCTTGTTTCTTGTAGAAAAACTCTTGCAGTGATTGTATTTGTTTGTAGTGAAGGTTTATAATGTCAATCAGGCCACATCCACCATCTTTGTGGAAGGGTTAATCTTTCTATGGCAGATTTAGGATGATGTTTATGCTTAGTAAGTGTTGTTCTTGTTTTCCTTGTGTAAAGGTTACTCATTACCAGGTACTAGTCTAATACATATAACAGACTCACAAAAACCTTTAAGTGACCAGTAAAATATTTAATTGAAAAAATAACAAATGTTTTCAACCATATTTTTCGGCCTTCTTCAGGTTAAAAGTTCCGAGATTCGAAAAGCCATTGTGCTTAAAGATTTAAAAGTTTTAGAACGTTTTGGAACATATCCAACTTTGCGTATAACATTCATTATGCACACGCATATCAAGCATTGTATAAACAAAAATATATTTAAGAAATTATTATTTTAAATCTTTAAGCACAATGACTTTTCGAATCTCAGAACTTTTAACCTGAAGAAGGCCGAACAATATGGTCAAAAACATTTGTTGTTTTTTCAATTAAATATTTTACTGGTCACTTAAAGGTTTTTGTGAGTTCTTGTTTCCTTTGGAGTTGCTCGAGATCTGTGCGAGTCCAATGTATAACTCCAAAAGAGTATGCGCGTACTGGGATGACATGTGTGTTTTGCATTTAAATGTGTTCTGAGGATAGCATTTAACCTACTTTGGTATTCTTTAATTAATCTTTGCTTTATTTGTGTATGTTCTGTTAGTTTGGCCTGTTGGAATCCTAAATACTTGTAGAACTCACCCTCTTCCATGGATTCAATAACGTCTCCATTTTCAAGTGCAAAATCTTCTTTCTTCAGAATTCCTTTTTCTATGTGAAGTTTTTTGCATTTGTCTAAGCCAAACTCCATTTGTATGTCCTTGGCGTATGAGTGTGTGATTTGTAGGAGTTGATGAAGTTGTTTGTGTGTGGATGTATAAAGTTTTATGTCATCCATGTACATGAGATGTGACAGCATAAACTGTGTTGTCTTTTCATGTCTGATATTGTAGCCATATTGCATGTTGTTTAACATGTTCAATAATGGATTCAAGGCTAGGCAGAACCAGAGAGGACTCAAGGAATCGCCTTGAAAAATTCCTCACCTAATAAACATTTCATTTGTTTGTATGGAAGTGTAATGAATCCTGGGATGTAGTGTTGTTCTCCAGTGCTGCATAGTGTTTTGGAAGAATGCAATGAGTGATGGATGTATTTTGTACATGTGTACAATATGTAGCAGTCAGCTATGTGGAACGCTGTCAAATGCTTCTCTGTAGTCTGTATATGCTATGTGTATGTTTCTGTGTTGTTTGTGTGATTGCCGTAGAATGACTGAATATATGAGTAACTGTTGTTTGCATCCCCTGTGATTTCTACGGCACCTTTTTGTTGTTCTGTAAGAATGTCGTGTTCTTCAACATGTTTGTATTATTTTGTTTCCAATGCAGGATGCCAATAATTTGTTGTGTGTTGGAAGACATGTAATTGGTCTGTTGTGTGGGGTGTTGTTGTTTTTAGGTTTCATGTAGGTGATGCCCTGAGTAAGAAATTTTGGCATGTCTTGTGGATTGATGATGATGTTTAGCTAGTTCCTGGTGCAGTGATGTAAATTTTTTGTACCAGAAATTGTGAATGTTGTCTACACCAGGTGTCTTCCAGTTGTGTTGTTATTATTTTCAATCAACCTGATTAACAAGATTAAAGTGATTGAAGATGATATTATAAATGATGGCATAATATATTTGCTGATCATTTGTAATAATGTCTTTTTCTATGCTATTCATATGCTTATCTATATGACATTTAATGTTTGGTTTTTTTTTTTTTACTTTGGAATAAGATTTTCTGAATTTAATTCTTTTAGCTATTTCAATAGTACATTATTAATTGGGCTACAATTTGAAAAAATTGTAGATCTATAAATTCTCAATGTTGCCTGCCTGTCTGTCTGTCCTTCCTTAATCTCAAGAACAGTGCTAGATAGTTGAAAGTCAAGACCAGATATGAAAAGCTTAGGAGTCCTGATTAACTATATATGAACTTCTGGTCTAGACCAGAAGTCATGTGATTTCAATTCAAAAATTTTCTTCAGAACAGTTATATAAATGACCAGCATGACTCTACTAATTTAAGGTGGAGAGCATATATTTTAAATTAAATATATAAAAATTATTATTAAAATTTGCAGTATGACATTGTGATGATGCCACAATAATTTTTCCTGATTAAATTTGAATTATAGTAGTATGTATATATATATGTATGTTCATTCTTCATTTCAAAAATTATAACATCAGTTGTTCTATAACAAATTTAGAGGTACAGAAAAAAAAATTAAATTAATTCATCATATAAATTAAAATTTAACAATTTTTGAAACATACTATAAATTTTGATCATATGCATACCATATAAGTATTAACATTAAATCATTTTTTCCACTACTTTAGTAGATTTTATGGGTTAACATTAACTAATTGTATTACAATA